ATCTTGCTCCGAATTCGTCACGGATATTTCAAATAATAAACCTTTTTAGAAATAGCATATTCCGACGTAATTTTATTCTCTCGTTCTCCAGTATAAGGCACTACAGTTAAAATGTTGCAATTAGATTGATTTGGGTGATAAATATTCTATAAGAATTTATTAAAACTCCGCACCTGTCGTGGTCAGTTAGAATTCGTTCCTGTGCCACTTGAGACTTGCGCCTGCCCACTTGACTTGCTGTGATCTGTGATGCGCCGACAGCGACCTCTATACACACACAATTTCACTTTAGACTAACTAGTCTTTTTGTTCCTATAAATATATATTTATTATTAGGCATATACCAACTATGATCACTATATACCTTATAAACCTAAGCCTGAAATGTATGGCTTAGGGATAGATCCACTTCTTTGTTTCTATCAATTATGTTAGTATGTTTAATATGTTTTTTATTTCTATCAATCGGAAACAGATATAATTTCTGTTTGACTGGTAAACGTAATCACGAACGCCAAGATATGTGTATTGTTGCGGTAACCACTGACCCAACAACAGAAAAGCGATGGCACTCGGTTGGTAGAAATGTTTCTTCTTACACAGTCCCAAAGGTTCATTAAAGAATTATAATTACAGGATTTTGTTGTTTCTATATTATCTTATAGAACATAGAAATAACGTGCAATAAGCTCACGTACTGTAAAGTGACACCCAAAGGCCTGCAAGAAGTAGGTACTTACGTTCTTTCTTAAATAACATCAAGGTGTATTGCTTTGGAACTACGAGTATGTATTACATTTCAGAGTAAAGAATTGAGGAATCAAAACTAGACTCTACCGAGTTTGTTTGTGGAAATCTTAATTTTACAAAATAAGGAGACAATATTGGATGGAGTGATGATCATTGTGGAGAACCCTTCCGCATGCTTTTTATTGTGCATTGCGTTTTATTACTTTTTTATCTCTTTTTAACAGCTTGGGGTCACTCGGTTATTTAGGGCTGACACAATTATTTAAAAAAAATGTAAAGTTGTGTTAATTATTTATTGGAATACAAATAATTATATTTGTCAACCTTAGTAACGACGAGCAAACACATTTCTGTTTCTGTTATTGATAATATTTTGTCATGGACCAAAAGATACCTTTTAAGCCAAGCCAAATATTGTTCCGCCGATAATTGAACCTAATCGACCGAGGTTTACGTCCCTTGTATAAACTAAACAATTAGCAAAATATAAATACCTATAATAATTTTCGAATGTTTTAAACGTTCAAATCGAGACAACCCTTATTCCCAAGACGCATCTATCACGTACAGGCGAGGGCCTGGATGTGCAATAATATCGTTTATATTCGCATTTTTATACAAATTCCTTAGCTATAAGTGTTCCACGATGATGGGGAAGCTATTTTTACTTACGATTTGAATTAAAGGCATCAGAAAATCTAAATAGTGAACGTGATTTCGTTTTTGGTTGTTTATTGATAATTTTAATTTCCAAAACGATCTTGATTCGTTTTCACTGACATTTTGTATACCGCCATCGCAATCGACAGTTGGAAGCCTTCGTATATATATTGATCTTCAAAATTGGTACAGTAGGTACAAAGAATAGTTCGGTGGCTGTTGATACAATATAGTTTTACTTCAATTTGACTCGAAATAAATAACACATATATACTTTGCTTTAAATAAAATCAGTAATAATTCACGATACGCACAAACACTTAGGTACTAAACGATATATATGATTCACGGCGTAAATAAATAAGTAAAATTGGCAAAAATATAAATAAATGAATCTAAATTAGCACTATATCAAAGCAAATACATAGAAATAAAAAAATAATGTGGCGATCGGCCGTGTCCCACCAGTACTAATCTAGTGGATATTATGAAAAAGATACAGGATGTAGATTTTTTCGAATTTTAATAAGAATTAGTAAAAAAAAGTCAATTTTATTATAAAACGCAAAATTAATTAGGTATTACTCTGCAGGGGTTGAGCTTAGAGACCTCCCGTAGAACAAAATTTTGCAGCTGATGACCTCATCTATCTCCTATTTGCGTTTGATCCACGACTTTTTGGCCACCCTGTATAACCATATATGTAATATAGTAGATATGGCATGGTACCTTTGATTCGGAGTGTAAAATCTAGAAACGTTTGTTCTGTTTATCAGAAGATAAAAGACATAACTAACAATTAAATTAAACATTAAGAAGTACTTACATCAAACGCGACTCAAGTAAACCAGAGTATTGACCTCCCCACAAACGAATAATCTACACAACCAGAGTTCAAGTAACGTCGGACGATAATACTTTGACAAAATCTAGTTTTACGCTTCAAATGCGTTCACAAAGTCGCGTACATTTTACCAACGTAAATGAACAGATGTTTGGCGGATTCTGATCCTTATCACAATGCAATAGAGTGTATTCTCAGTTTTTGAGATGCGTAAGTAAGTCGGTGCTGAGGTCCTCAGGCAAAACGTACGAAGATAGGATCTTGTTATAAGAACGTCTTTTTCAGTACCATTGTCTACAATTACTTGGCTTTGTACTCGACAATACATCTCTCTTCTTCCAACACATTTTGACTTACATAAGGTCATCTCTCTCCTATACCAATTTTGTGTTCTTCCGTTGGTTGTACAGTTTCGTGTTCTTTTAATTATTTTGTGAAGCTTTACAAGATTGTGGTTGTTTTGATTTGAGTGTTTTATTGTGGAGAGGGATGAAAGACGGAAATCGTATCGTTATAATTTATCGTATAATAGGTATAGAAATGAACATAATTTGTCCTGATTCTAGGTGTGACCTACAACAGAATTACATAAGTACCTACGTATAGGTCTTCTACAGAGTAAAGACATTTTGTTACGAAGGTTCTACAGCTCTTTAATTATACCAGTCAAAATAGAAGTTAAACTTTGCTTTCAGGGCCCAGCGGTAAGAAAAAAGGCTTCTCATTGCTCATACCACCTGTCTTTTCAAAATTTTAACTATGTCCAATTAGCATGCAAAGTGTCGAAATACAACAAACAACAAACTATATAATTTAGAGGGCATTGTCTTTTTAAAATGTAATGTTCAGGTGATTAAATAGTTTTGTCGCCAAGAGTAGTGGTTTTTCCTATACCTAGGTATAAGCGTGGTGCTCCATGCTGGCACCGACAATATATAAATATCATATCTTCATTTATAAAATTACTTATATTGTAACTATAGGTTACTAGGATACAATAATTAAGAAATAAAGAAATTATCAGTGGCGCTACCTTTTTTGGTCTGGGTATCAGAGTTCTGTTTTATGACCATTTGTTAATCTAATTGGCAAGTAGATGATCAGCCCCCTGTGCCTGACACACGCTGTCAACTTTTTTTGGCCTTATACAAGCCGGTTTCCTCACGTTGTTTTCCTTAACCTCGAATGGCGAATATTAAATGCGCATATAAAAAGAAGTTCATTAATGCACATCCGGGTATTGAACCTACGACCTCAGGTATGAGAGTCGCACGCTAAAGCCACTATGCCAAATACTGCTTAATAATATACCTAAATAAATTAAAAATGTTTGGGCAAAAAAAATGGTTTATTTGACCACCGGTCTTTAATCACCGAGAGATGATAAATCCACCTTAAAGGAAATTGTACTGATTTTTAAGATCAATTATTTTTGATTGTCAATCTTGATACACCCTCGCTTAAATTGATTACTGATTGGCAGTTCCCGTTTATTTGCCAACACAAAACCCTTTACCCGGCTAATAAACAAACACACAAAAATGTAATTTAAATAATATCAGGGTCGCGTAGTGCTGTCACCGCCACACCTCTTCAACATTAAGTACAAATTAAAATCTTTTTTCCACCCTCCTGATCCCTCTCTGTCACCTTATGCCACAACATATAACAGGCGTTTTAACATTTATTTTTATTTTTATAGAACAGTGGGTAAACGGGCAGGAGGCTCACCTGATGTTAAGTGATACCGCCGCCCATGGACACTCTCAATACCAGAGGTCTCGCGGGTGCGTTGCCGGCCTTTTAAGAATTGGTACGCTCTTTTCTTGAAGGACCCTAAGTTGAATTGGTTCGGAAATACTTCAGTGGGCAGCTGGTTCCACAAAGTGGTGGTGCGCGGCAAAAACTGCCTTGAAAACGCTCAGTTGTGGAACGGCGGACGTCGAGGTGATAAGAACGAAAATGGAGATTGGTGATAGGTGGAATTTCGTATTCTGCCTCGACGTCCGATGATGAAACTCAGCTGCAGGTATTAATCCGAACAACTCTACTGAACACTCTCCATGGTAAATGCGGTAGAAGATGCAGAGTGACCCCACATCTCTACGCAACGCCAAAGCATCAAGCCGCTCGGAGAGGGTTTGGTCGTCGACGATTCGAACCGCTCTGCGTTGTATACGGTCAAGTGGAAGGAGCTGGTACTGGGGAGCCGCCGCCCAGAGGTGAGAGCAGTACTCCATGTGGGGCCAAATTTGCGCTTTCAAATATTAATTTATTAGTTTAAATTTTTTAAATTAACTCACTAAATTAACAAAATTGGAAAAAGGAAAGAAAGCAACTTATATACGTAGAAAATATACATATTTAATTTTATATTGAATATTGAGATGTAAATGGTGGCAATTGGTAAATTATTGTTTTAACCATGTTTCCAATTATTGCTAGAGAAGTGGCCGCTAAGCCAAGCACCAGGTTGACTTTATAACGGAAATGTTATATTGTGGTTCTGTAGTTATAGTTGACTACTTACCTACCTATATGCCCAAGAAAGGTGATCTAAATTCTAAGCCAATTCAGCAATCAATTTGCTCCGAGAGCCCCTCCCTTCCAAGGTTATTTTGCAAATTTATCTCGGACAGGTGGTCTTCTGCCCTAATCGCTCGTGTACCGACCACATAACACTCTTCGTATCATCAGAATAGCAAAGGGAGGTAATCTTACCTATGTTGACTTCGATAAAGGTAAGATGGAGTCACGACTCTCTAACATTGGCGAAGATGGCCTCATCTCAAACGATATTCAAGTGCACGCGGGTGTTCAACAAGGCTGTTTACTCACACCACTCATATTCCTGGGTATTCGGATTAGGTATGTCACCAACGAGTAAGTCTGGGAGCGCTGCCGCGAAATCCCGATTAGCCAGCAGATCAAGCAACACGAGTTGATAGGCCATACATATACATACACTCTGAAGAGTTTCCAATAATACCACGCAACCTGGCGACGTACAGCTGCAGATGGCAAAGAACGATAGACACTCACTGTGGACGCCTCTGTCCAGGGGCCATACGATATTCAGTCAAATGGAAACAAATCGCGGCGTTTCTTCGCAAATAATGTGTAGAGCGATAAATGTCAGTCTGCGATGGCCGCGTGCCACAGATTAGTGTCGCATTCCATTCTAAACTAATTAACACATCGGGCGACGCCTCTCTAATTGAACCACTTTGTTCTTTAAATTGACTGCCGGATCTCAATGAGATAAATTTAATTAGAATCAAATTGATGTTAAATTGGGTATTCAAGTGTATAAGTTCTAACGTAGTTGAAAACTATTGTAACATTTATTTGTCTGATTGTCTGAACGCGATGTTCACGACATAATTAACATCAGATGAAACAACCAGCTGATATTCACTATCACAACTCTATTAAAGCTCTTCTTCTCTTAACTTTACGTAATTGTTTTTAAATTTATTAATAATATGTATTATGCAAAGTAACCCCACTAGCTTAAACAAAGTGGGAATTCCTTTGCACACGGGACCGCTGGTCAAAATATTTTAAAGCAGACGATAAAATGTTTTTTTATTAAAATCATTATTATTGAGACACTAAATTTGAAACTTACCTAAATAAATTATAAACGAACCTTATCTACCCTTAAACTCAAACAGAAATAAAGTAAAAAGCAACACGTAAGGTTCTTAAACAAATATGGATGAATTGATGTTTTAAAAGAGTACCGAGAGTTTTTTACGCCGGCTTTTTCTCTCGGCCTACACCCTCTGTCTTCTTTGCCGATGAGTAGGGATGCCTACAAATTCATGACGTGGAATAAGTGATACATGTATCTTATGTTCCATAATAAACATATTTTATTTATTTATTTTATTTGATGCTTGTGTCAATCAAAAATGCCAATTGGGCTGCCAGTGGTTCACGAACCTGGCGCAAAAGCCGGAAAAGAGGTTTGATTTGCGAAACAGACAAAACAACAGAAGGAATTGTTTCTGAATTGAAACTTCAGGTCTCATTAGGAGTTTACAGGATAAGAATTGACCTTACGATAAAGTAGATAAATGGATTGATAGTTGCCGAGGCAATAATATTTAAGTTAACATCATATTAGTGACAGTATGTCCAAAAGATGAATATGGCGGAAATATAGGAAATTGGCTTACTACTTTAAATTTAATGTTTGAATTTGTAGGTGACGCCCCCTATTATCCAATAGCAAAGGAGTATAATACAGTTACTAGACTTTATTTGTGTTTGAGCGCCATCTATGGTAAAAACATACAACGTTTTATTACAAAACATAATGTCTATGAGACAGTTTACAGAAAAATGGATAGATGGCGCTTAAATTATATAAAACAGTTAAGTTCCCTTACTTTAAATATGTATATGATTTCTTAGAGTAAATCGTTATCGGTCACTTTGAATATCTTGTTATCTTAAAGAAATTGAAGGTCACGGTAGGAAACCTGAAGCAGTGCATTGTACTGGAAACATACAAGAACTCAATCAAAATGCCACGATTACGATAAAAGATTATTCAACTTTTACTGAATATCAATTGTTATTGAAATTTTGTTAAAAAAATATTTCAATGCCTGTAAGTGTTTACAAGCTACTGTCCAAAGCTACTGAACGGATACTTATTTCCGAGTAACATTATAGATTTGTTTAATTGAAATCTGAAGAATAAGCCAAGCGCCTGTTATAAGTTATTTTGCAAAATGAGACTGATTGACTGTATAGTAGGTTTTCACGCGGAAAAACTTCCATAGGATGCGAGTTGTAAGTTGAAAGTACCTATATATTTCATAAGAAATATATAAAATAATCCAACAGCTTGGCCTATCGCAGATTTAGGTATTCACCGTCAAAAAACACTTTTTAATATTTTTTGAAACAATTAATGTATTACCTAAATCGTTTTTAGTAATTAATCATTTTAAACAATCTCATTTTATTAAACGAATTTACACATTAAAAATATCTACTCATTAAATTAAATAAACTAAAAAATATTAATTTATGGTTAATACTGAGATGACCAAAAATAATATCAGACCAAGTGCGTGTAGAGTGTTGACCTATAAATATGTTACTATATTGTGTGAATTGTACAATCACGAGTGTCCTGTGAGTGACAATTCGCTATTGGCATCTATTCAGTTTTTGTTGCAAAGGCCACTTCTATTTATTGAAACATAATGAGATACTCATCTTATATTACTAACAAGTACTTTTATTCTGGATCTAGATATATTTTACAGCGAGTTTGTGTGGGAACACATAGTTACGCACATAAACAATTTTCTCAGTTCTGCCTGATAATATTAAGTATATAATATTTTACAGGATGGTGGTTGCAAGCAATTGTGAATTATGACTTTGTGCTTTAAATAAACTATTTTTGATGAACTGTGATAAAGCTGTGCTTATTCATAGAAGGGGCACTTCTACGTTCAGATTTTCAGGTTCAGTTATTATTAGATTTAAACTTATTAAAGTATTGCTAATTCTGAAACGATGCATTCAAACGATAATAGTATAGATTAAAATTATTTGCAATCTTTACCAACTAATAATAATAATGAATAAAATACATAGAAAATTAATATTAACATTTCTTCTGTGTTTTCGTCAGTCGTATAACGGAAAGAGTAGTCTGTAAGTGAACAATAGACACCGATCTGCTTAGAGATACGTAATAGGCACATCTCGTTTATCAGTCAAGTGGTGTAATGAATTTGTTTAGTTGTTGAGCCTTGTTTGTATCATCAGTTCAACCTTAACTCTCTGTGTGGATAGTGCAGTGAGGTACTTGTGGCTTTCTGTATTTAGGATAAGTGTTACACTCTTATCAGTAGGAATATATAATTTAGATTTTAATATATGGGCATTACTTGTATAGAAATATTGTTAGATTTCAGCTAAATATTATAATATTATAATGTTTATAATCATTTAATGAAGTGATGTTAAGAAAAGTTACTGTAGTTTAATTATAATATTTTTGAAGATTACTCTTGAACGAGCAGTTTTCAAGAAAAATTTATTTCTAAAAAAAAAACCTTTCAAGTTAATGTTTTTTTTACTATCAATTTTGAAATAACTGACCTGAAATCTTTTGTTGATTATTCGTAAAAATACTGTTTTCACAAATTTTAATTTTAATGGTAAAAACATTCCGTATCATGTGATGAGAGTTTGACAAATCGTCCGCCAGAGGGCCTAGCATGACTTTTATCACGATAAAAGATAACATTGCTATTTTGGTTCAGTTAAACAAATCTTAAATATTGACTAACCAATTACCTTACATTAGTAATGTTATATTGTTATTTAACTGTGTAATTTCGAACCAACATAATATTGAAAACTACTTAGGTAATGTTAGCCATAATAACTAAATTCGCCAAAGTCGATTAAGCTATTAATAGATACTGAAGGTTTTATAAATAAATTGTAGTACAGCCTCATTCTCATTTAATTAATTTGGTGAATGTAAAAATAACCATATTTTTACAGTAAAATGTCTGAAGCAACATTACTACAACCGGGTACGGTTATTCGACCTACCGTCGACCATGAAGCGGTCAAATTACTGGTGGAAAGGCTGTATGGTATATCGGTTTTGGAACTCACCGAAATGAATGGTTACGACGATAAGAATTACAAGATTATCGAAGATCCAAACGTAAAGAATCCTCTAATTACAAACCACTCGCCTTTTGGATATGTTCTGAAAATCATGAACTCTATGGACTCTAAAAATGTCAGCTTCGTAGAAGCTCAGAATGAGATTATGAACTTTTTACGTAAGTTTTGCATTCAATATATACATTTACAAAAATTTGCATTTAAATCCTATAAATAAATAAAGTTAATAATTTATAATAATTCAAATGAAAATGAAAATAACTATGAAATACAAAAAAATACTTAATAATGTTTTTTTTCGAAATGAAGGCCTTTGGGGTGGCAATTGATCTCAATTTCCACAAATTAATAAGCTCAGAATGTATGTTTTACATACAAGTGTAACTTACTTATTTTGTATGCCTCAAAAATAACCTAAAATAAATGGCCGTGAGAAATAATAATTAGCGCCTTCACCTCGACTTCAGAAATAAGAATACCTACTATTACTCAACAAGTTAATATTTGTTTAGTGCGCTTGACATCTTTCTCAAATTTTATTACCTATTCTTAACTAGTTTCCTTGACCGAGTAGGTCTTCTCGCAGACTATAACTATTAACTGTCACAATTCTTTTTACCTTGTTTACCTTTTGTAATTGCAATATGAATAATAATTCAAAGAAATAAGGCATAATATCCTTATACAATGCTATTAGGCTCATCTCAATCTCTATTTCAGTGACGCGTTCAGTGACTTGCCCAAAGCCCGTGCGCAATGTCTTCGGACATTTACACTCGGTGGAAAACATCGGTGGCAAGCAGCACGCAGTTCGTCTACTGGAGTTCGTACCAGGCGAGCTGTTGAAGGATGTGCCTACGTCTGAGGCACTGTTCTACCAACTTGGAGAATTTGTGGCTAATTTGGATAATAAATTACAGGTACTGTGTATGTCACCAAGATATTTGAATTGTCGTTCAAGCCTCAGATAATCAAACATTAATGTATTCTTTATGATTTTATTTGCAAGTAAAGAATATTTGAATGTCCCTTAGAACTTTAACCACTCGGGTCTGGTCTCCCGTGAGCACATGTGGATGCTAACCAAGGTCCCGGATTTGGAAAAGTTCAAATACGTCATCAAGGATACTGAAAAGCTCGATTTGGTTGAAGAGGTAATTTATATATAACATATTTTATGCTCATATTTTTACATTATTTCCCCGTGGATCTGACCAATTATTATGGGTCCCAAATGTCCTGCTAGTCGACGTATCGGTTAGGGTTTTTCAAGACAGCCACAAGACCTTCAGTAAAGAAGAGAAGAGATGCTCATCTTAACATATTTTTGTTATATTAAGAGTTCATTAGAAATATAAAACGACGATCGTATTAATGTTAATATCGATATATTTAATCCGACACAATTTTTTATCAGGTAATAGAAGAATTCAAATATGCCATAGTTCCTCGTCTAGATGAACTAGAGAAGGGAGTGATACATGGTGATATCAACGAGATGAACGTCCTCGCCACCTCCAAAGTACCAAACAGGTAACTATGGTATTGGTTTTACAAAATAATCTCCACCTTAAGATGATTTGGGGCTAAAACCCGATCAGCAAAAATCCTTTTCAAGCCGAAACATTTGTTATGAAGCTATAAAAAAGACGTAAATGTAAATTGTTACATTTATCGCAACAATTTATCAAACAGTTTTTGTAATAGGAAAGTGCAAACCCTCGCACCAACCGTTGCGAGGGTTTGCAGACAAATACTAAACGGAATTATTCTGAGGTAAGCCAAGGTTCCACTTGGCTTTCCCTGGCTAATATAAATATCTTTTCTTTGTGCGTGGGTTTTTAGGAAAACTTAAATTGTTCGCTGTATATAGATTTTACATTTGGTGTTATTGAATCAACTAATACGCTTTTAATTAACAGTTCGTGATATGAATGATAGGAATTATAGAACCGTATCCACGGTTAACCTGCGCTGGTACTCCAATATTAAGTATTATCAGTATCCAATTTTGATAAATTTCTTTCAATATCTAAAGCAGTTCGAACCTCGGTTGTAAACTGGATTTGCAATGCACTTTTCTTTTTAAGTGCACTTATTACGCTGACCTACGTTGAAGGAAAATTCTTGTAAATAAGCGATCAGACTAGTCACAAAAACCACAACGAAACAGATGCATAAATGTGTTAGTCCCATGTCCCATCCCACCTAATAAAATAACAGACAAGACTATTAATAACTAAAAATAAAAGTAAAACCAACAACTAAAAATCATAGTCGCTCTAATAAACCACATTTAAAACTAAGACGACAGTCAGAATTCATGATAAATTAATTAAGTAGGTAACTTGTTTCAAAATGTGTACTAACTTCTAGGTACTATGATAATTTTTTATACATACTTATAAAACAATTTACTGTCATACCTAGTCATATATAATGTGATAATTATATACAAGAAATGTCTCTTTATTAACGTAATAATAAGATAAAAACAAAAATTTAAGGTCTATCAACAAAATAAAGTCTATTTACGTAATAGATGAGCTTTTTGCTTATTTTCCCTTTGCTTTATAAAGAAAAACAAATATTTTCGGTTCCGTGGCTACTAATAAAATTGCTACAATCTATGAAATAACCCAAAATCTGCCTGTTGGAAACGTATTCCTGAAACTAAAACTGGGTATTTCATGTCGCTGAAGGTATTCTAATAAAAGTATACTTATCAATCTCATTATTGTTGCATTCAAAAGCGCAGTTAATGAATCTGATAATATAACTTAATTTGGTTACTCTCCAGCAAATCCGACTATCGCATTTCCGGTGTTCTGGACTTTGGTGACATTCAGTACAGCTACTATGTCTTCGAGCTGGCCATCACTATGACCTACGTGATGCTGCTATCTGGAGACCCTCGCTCGGGCGGCCTAGTGCTAGCGGGATACACAGTCAACAGGAGATTACCTGATGACGAATACCGCCTTCTTAAAGTAAGGCAAAGTCTTTATTACAGAGACATCTAGTTTTTACCTGAATAAGCTTTAAAGATACAAATTAAGACGCCATCTTGTTTTAAAATAACTAACTAATCTATATTTAACAATATTTTCAATAGTAAGAAAAACAATAAAGATGTTATCCGATGCGTTTATGTACGTTATGTATATTTGAATGAATATAATTATTTCACGACTGTCTGATGTCTGTATTCAAAAGCGCTGATATTAAATCAGAATTTCGTGTTTTTGTGTCTTAAGTTTTTGATATTAGGATTAATGATACATGTAGGCAGCAGTATTGTTCGTGTAGTAATAGTCTTTTCGATTTTCAGACCCTGATTTCAGCCCGTCTAGTGCAGAGCCTTACGTTGGGGGCTTACTCCATTGTCCAAGACCCCAACAACCACTACGTTACCTCGACCGAGAAGGCAGACGGTTGGGGTTTGCTTAAGAAATTACGAAAATCAAAACCAAACCCAGAAGATGACCCAACCGACTGGAAAGCCATTGCTACTGAATACTTAACTCGAAGTTAATTTATAGGTTCATCTAAAAATATTTAAATTATGTGAAAATAAGTTTGAGTAGAATGATAAATATATAATAAATGTATAGTTCAATTTTGAGAAATCGCTTAAATTATGATACGAAGTTTCTTCGAAGATATATTTCTTCGTTGATATACCTATAGATATACATATTTAGACGTTTTATTTTATCGATTGAGCATTTAAATTGTTTATGTCAACTTAATTAACTATATCTACTAATCTGTATAAATGTGTTCTTAGCAGTATAAACTAGTTTTTTTTAACAGAGACCCAATTTATAAAAAAAAGTTAACTTGCTTCAAGAGCCCCTTGAGCCTACTGAGACTGACTAATATTTAGAAGTAGGCTGTTGTTTGTTGATTTACAACACTTATCCGAATCTACTTTTCATTGTAATTAATTTAATCCTAGTTGTTAACTTGTCACCTACAATATGCAAAACGAGTTCATTAATCAATATTTCGAGAGGAAATGGCAATGACATGAATGTTCAAATAAATTCAACAAATTAAAATGTAATTATCTTACGTACACTCCACTGAGTTGCCAAATGTTGTGAAACTTGTTGAGTAGCGTGTGCACCCGCGGGCCAATATTAGTTAGTTATATCTCAAAACTTGCCTATTGCCTTCTCAGAACCCGATTTAATTTCAAAAAACATGTTTCATACATGCAAAATTTAACACTGGGTTACACTAATAAAAAAAGTGTTAATTCATTATAAAAGTACACATTTTGGGAATTTATTTCTTAAAAATAATACCGTCCAAATGTAGACCCGCGGCCGCGGCACTCATTTAATCGAACAATAAAATTACTTATGTCGGCTCGGCAGGTGGACTCAGTGATGGCTGCCATTTCGTGACGGACATTTTCTTTAAATTGCGCCAGAGAAGTCGGCTTATTGGCGTAGACTTTAGTTTTAAGATAACCCATAAGAAAAAATCCATAGGGGTTAAATCAGGTCTGCGTGGAGGCCAATTTATGTCACCTCTTCTGGAGATCAATTTGCCTGAGAAAATTTCACGAACTCGTGGCAGAGACGTATTGCATGTGTGTGACGTTGCTCCGTCGTGTTGGAACCATGTTCTTTGGTTATAGCCAGGAAAGTTTTGAATTTCAGGCACCAAGAATTCGTCTAACATTTTCACATAACGTTAAATAAATATAAACTTTATTTTGAGACACCTGTTATAAAATGCCACAGATGAAGAAAGCACATTTCATTTTCAAAACTGTATTAACTTTGATTACGTGATCAGCTTGCATCAAACTTATATGTCGAGACCTTTTTTGTTGAATGGGTGACGAAACCAGTACCTACTGAGCTATTTAACATTGTAATGCATTATTTAAGACATACATTATTTATATTGCTGTATAGTTAGTATGTCGGTCTGTAAAATTTTTAAAAAACAGTGGTAAACTTGGTCTTGGCCTCAGATTTCTGATCCTTTTCGTGATATTTTTATTGGCAATAAGCAAGTGGGTCATCATTCGTCTGTGTGGGTTTAAACCCAAAAAGTGGCGGCGTGTGTTTAAGGTAGGTGGATTACTTCAAATCAAGTCAAGTCAATATCATTTTTTCATATAGGTCACTATGTACACTTATGAACGTCAACAAAAATATATATGAAATGCTTCTAATTTTACATTTACTGCTAGTTCTCAAATCAAGGGCGTAGAACGGAAGAGAAGAACTGGCAATAAAATCTCACTCCTTCATCGATGTTTTCCTTCATCGACTGAGTGCGAACAGCGCACATAGAAAGAAAAGTCCTCAGGTGCTCAGCCGTGATTCAGACGCGACCTCTGGGTTGAGATACGCACGCTCTTACCAATAGGTCAATAGAGAGTATTCTGCTCGCTGTAATAAAGTTACCTTTGACTAAAATTTTCTATCTACTGTAAAGATTATATGAAGTATTCCCCCTCAAGGGGTTACAAAATTCATCCTATATTTATCATACCAACTTGATTTCTACTTTGAAGTATTCCCAAATAAATAAATTCATCGTCACCCAAAATCGAATCGGATTCACGCTCCACACATTTTGAGTGACAGCTTACACTCAGATAATTATTATATCGATTTAATTATCTCATTAGATACATATGCCAGATAAGCCACTCATTTAATTATTTTGCTTGTAAGATATCACTTCGTAAAATTATATTATTAATTCGAAACGTTATTACGAATCAGATTAAAAGCAAGAGAGGAAAGTAATGAAAAGTAAAGAAGCTGCATTACTTACGAGTTAAGGTAGAGGGATTATTAAGAATTTGGTATTTTAGCTAGTAACATAACGCAAAGGTATCTACCGAAATGTCTAAAAGCTCCAGCAAAACGTTTGTAAAAAGCTTAACATAAGGTTTCTTTTTATACTTGATAAAATTATATCGGGTTTGGACCTCCGTAGATAAGCCGCCACTATTTTGCTTATCACATACTTCTATCACATACTTTCAAAGGGAATTTGAGACATCTACACCATCCAGCCATGCTCACAAGCTTCTAGCTTCAGTGATAAAAGTGGCCGAGACGCGCTTACTCGCGTGTCGTTGTTTTAAAAGTGAAAGTAAATCGAATTTCGAATATCAAATTTATAAGCTACTGTGTATACCTGCGAGTATTATTTGTGTTTTGACAAAAATACAATAGTAATTTTAATTAAGCATCTAAGGCGATAAAAAAGTCATAATTTTAGTATCTTAAAATTGATTTAATATGACTTTAAATTAGGTTTGAATTTTACCTAAAAGGGCAAACAGCGCGGGCTTGTCGATGTTTGAGATTAGTGAGACACAATTAATAATCATAATATTTGTTTTATACTTGTAATTAATAGTGTTTGATGATATCTTATTTGATTGCTTTTAGGGTAAAAACAAATTCGCTTAAGGCTGACTTTACAGTATGATTGATTATGATTTATATATTAAATAAAATTAAATAATATTAAATTAAATAAATAAAATACATACTAGAGTAAAGTAATTCTACAAATCTTATAATATGTGAAAACTGAAATTAACAATATTTGAACTAAAAAAAATTTATTTCGTAATTGTCGCAGATTAAAATTGTTTTAAGTACGTGCCATATTTATAAAATATTATCAATAAATGCAATTAATGTAGAAATAGTTTAAATTATTATAATATTTACTTTATAGTCTACAAAAATTACGCAACAATATTTCTAATATCTTGTTTATAAAACGAAATATTATTGTTTTGCGAAAATGTTGAAAGATATAGAATCAAAGCAATTTACATGTTACGGCAAAGAACAAAAAAGATCATAAATTCTAATATTTTTGAATGGGAAGCAAGACCTAACCGACTTAAAGATTTATTTGGTAAAGTGCCTAAAACTCAAACTATTTGATTTGTGGGGAAATTAGAAGTAACAGGAACCGTCTACTGAATATTCCACATATATAATATAATATTTTGTATAAGTAGGCATAACTTTACAGCTAAAATACTTTTGGTATAATACATACTTATTAAAATTATTTAAAATATGCCACAGCTATTTCATCTATGAATAAGTCGATGTAATCTTTATAATGCGCATAATATTAAGATTAATCTCATCAAACTGACATGGATCGTGATCGATTAGTGACCCGACAGCGTTTAGTTTAATTTAATTTGAATATTAGACACAAACAAAAATTAGTGAAATAATGAAACAATTTTAAGTGTAATTCAAAATGCCTACGGATAACGCTTCGTTTGAAACAACCAATGGTGGGAAAAGTGATACATTTGTGAGGGGAAACGTAGATAGTGAAAATATTGACAATCGCGTAAATAAGATTGGAGCCAAATGCTTAGAGATGAATCATGAAAGGGTACAGAATGGTTCTAAGGACTTGTTGGGAGTCCCAAGAACTGGACACCGGAAATCTTTCATGGAGGAGGAGAGTGCGAAAGAGAAAGCAAGAGTGTCTCTGTTGAGGCAGTGTTCAGCTCTACTGAAGCTGAACGAACAGAAGTACAATAAGGATGCTCTTCATAGAACATTTCAAGACGAGGTAAGGTTTTTTCAAGCTTCTAACATTTTTCTTGGCTCGATTTGTACCTGCGTTACCAGAATAACCCGTTTGCCACTTGAGTAAATCCAATAACTACCTATATTTTATTGTTAAAAGTAATCATTACCCAAAATTTTATCTCGATTACATGAAATGTAACGATATTCGTAAAAATATGATAACGTTAAAGTAAACGAAGGGTAATTTTATCAAATTTTATCAATATTTAAGGTAATATCGAGTCAGCATTGAAGTTTACATGACCTCCGTACGGACTACTTTCGTATGTAAAGAGCTATCGAAATAGAGGCTAAAAAAAGACCTGACTCTAGTTGAAAAAAATACACAAAATTACAACAAACACACTATTTATATATACTTTAATTTACGTTTTATTTAACGACAACTAACCTATTTAGGTTTTCATGTAACTTAAAAATGTTAACTGTTGCTATCTCTTATCCCTATTAAGTTGTTCTGTAGGTTAGGAGTAACTTCACACTTGATAATTAATGCAGAATATATAAAAACATTAATTAAATTGTCATATTCCCAAAACTGGTATTACGTGATAAAACAACAAGCAACATTATTGAACTTTTACCTTCACTAGATATCACTTCTGAAGAATTTCCAAAATGAAGAATTCATATAAGTAGATACTAAAAAATGACAAGCTTCGCAATAAAGGCATTCTGGTAAATTATTATCCGAAAATAGCACGACATCAAACCGGACGTATATTAAATAAAAACCTGTTTTTTTACGATTTAATACGATTCTTTGGTAAATTATGACATCGTTTTAAGGCAAACTGTATGATTTAAATTATTCAAAATTTTGATATTTTTGTTGGATACTATATGTCACAACTTTACTAATATTGTTAAGTAGTGAAGTTTCAACTAATATAATGGATAATTTTGGATAATTATC